AAGCGCTGCACGTAAGTCCTGCACCGTGAGTTCTGGTAGCTCATCCGAGACCGCCTCACCACGAATGCGAGACATGAGCTCCGACACATGTGAGGGCGTGACTGGATGTTCCGACCAGAGCGTGTGATACTTCTCAGCCTTGGCATCGATAAGATCGATAGGATGAAAAAGTCTAACTCCGCGGTGCAAAAACTCGTGATCTGGAACTGGCTCCGACCGCAAGCTCCGAAAAACTTGGCCTTGCCTGCTGCCGTCAACAATCCACTGCTGAAACCGATACAAGGAGCGACGCATTGCCTTGCGCTGGGCTCTCTTGGAAATTCTCTCGCCTCAGCTAGCAAGTTTGACGAGGAAATCGACGCCGAGGTTCCCGAGAGACTTGAGGTAGTGAACCCAAGCTTCAAGAGTAGGCCCCAAAGTATGCGCAAGGATAACTGTATGGGCCCCCTCGGGAGCGTCCTCTGATAACTTAATGCCTGTGTGCAGGAGTTCTTTAATCTGCTTGCCCCCGTTATCCCGTTGCCGATGTTTGCAGAGCCTCGCAATGATAACCGAGACCCTGGCCCACCAAGTAGCAATCTTGTCGGACAGCGGAAGCTCGCGATATTTCTGCGCCTGCTGCACTGGCTGCCGAATGAGTTCTGCGCCGTCGGCTCTCGACCGTCCACGAAACACATCTCCCAAAGGATCGGCAGAATGATGAGCTGATATCGTTCTTTCGGCAGCCTGGGCCCAAGCTGCGAATAGACTGCTGACCCCCAATATGCACGATCCCCCCGCCTGATACGCATGTGACTCAAGAACAAAAAGAGACAACATCGCTGCAGGCTTGAGGAACGAAACCCACTTGAACCAAATGGTGACGCCAGCTGGAGTCAGGAATGGAGAAAGAGGGACTGGACGGCTCAGCCTTGCTGAAAGATTCCTCTCGAACATCCTGACCTGGGGGTTCAAAAGTGGTGTGGGGGGGGGGGGGGGTCCGAATTCAGCTGATCATTCTGCCTGACCTCTCCAAGGTCTTCTTCAGGAAATAATGAATTATCCTCGTCCTCGCCCCAAAGCGCTGGGCCAAGATCGAAGGGGATCTGACTCGGCCTGCGACTTAGGAGCCTCGGCACCTCCAGAGTCCGACTGGCCGAGCAGATCTCCGAAATACTCCTGACACGCTTCACGAAAAGATTCGATTGCTAGCTGCCTGGCCTGGGCTCTCTTGGCCTTGCTCTTGCTGGTCCGACTCCCGACCTGAGGAAGAGTTCCAGGGCGGGAGACCTGCGGTAGCTTAGCGGGCAACTGCAAAGCGCGGGTGACGAGTGACTGACTACTACCTGCTAGCTGAACGACTAAACCACAGTGAGTGCCCCATGGCACGTCTAGCCTGGCTTGAATTCCGAGAATGCACGGTCTGGCTGAGACGCTGGCCACGAGGTAATCTATGTGACTGCTGCCTGTGCCTGTGACGCAAGTGACCTCAATGTCCGCGGTCATGGCGACCGCTTCGAGATTGTCAATAAACTTGCATGTGTTAAGCGCAGACGGAGACATATTAAAGTCGCCCAAGATGATCCAGGGAAACGACAGCGCCGAAACGAAAGCTCCCAAACGGGTCAACCGACGGGCATTATCTCCAGAGAGCCCTTGGCAGTGAAGCCCGTAAAAGAGCACAAGCACTATCGAATACCCTTGCATATGCACCGTGATGGGGAGGAAACCATCGAGGGCAGAACAGGAGGCTACAGCGAGCTCGGGAAAAACTTTGGCATCAGCAGTGGATTGTGCCTGCCTATGTCCTTCCACAAAAAAAGCATCGCCCCCTTCGTTGGCCTTAGAGATTTGCGCCTTCCGAAGTTTCTTTGCCCGAAGGCCTAGCAGGGTTAAAAAAAGACCGATGTGGAAAAGCGCGTGCCTCCTTGGCCCACTTGGCCGTAGAAGCCTCGTCGACATGAGTCTCGGCGAAGCCCCAGGCCTGGTGCCGAGAGACGTTCTCCTGAAAAAAATCTGATAGCCTGGGGCCCAAGCTGGGTGACGTTGCTGTAACAAATCTGGAAGGCCTCAGACTCAGAAGCTGTAGTCGACGCCGAAGTACTCCGATGTGCCGACCCGCCTCCGAGGTCCTTGAACCCGTCAGACTTGACCACGCCAGCCGAGCCTTCGCGAAATTGAAGATCGTGTGCCGTGACTGACTGGCCTGCGCTGCCCGTCAAGCCTCCTGACTCAGGGACCGCCGAACCTTGCTGCACCCTGGGCGCTGATGGTCCCCCAGGGTCTCCCATAGCGCCCAGGAGGCTGGCGGCCCCCGAGGGGTCGGGGCGCGCAAAGACTAACAAGTCGTCACGGCCGTAATTGTGCGCCTCCTCGATGGATTACGCCAGCACCGTGGGAGGCGTGCTGACGCCCTCGGAAGGTCACAATGCACCAGTGGGAGTAGCCGCCGCCGCCGCTGATGCACTGCTGGACGCTGCATCCTTGGCTGCCGCCGCCTTCTCCGCTGCCTGGAGCTTGACTTCACTAATACGATCAGCTTCCCGCTGGAGTTGAGCTTCTGGAGACTCCTGGGTGAGGTCGACTGGAGTCGGGCCGGCTACCTTGGGGTCGTCGCCCTCAGCACCATCAGCACGTCTCTTCTTCGCCAACCTGTCGTGGAGCTGCTTCTGCATCTGCTCCTTCTTGTTGACCCAGGTCATGATCTCCTCGTTCTTGGTCTCCATCTGCGTCTTGAAGCCTTTGAGCTGGCGCTCAATCTCCTTGAGTTCATCTTTCTCGCTGTCTGTGATACCTGGAATGCCGTCTATGTTCTGGAAGAAAGTCTCGTCGAAACATACTCCGAAGAAGCCCTCCTTGCCAGATTCTGGAGCTGCAATACCCATGCTGGACGCCAGAGCCTTAGCAGTCAACTTCTGTCGTTCGGCCCGAGCAAGTGCCAAAGACGTTTCCTTTTCTCGAGCCTCCGCTCGAGACAGGTTGTTCCTGGCCTTGATGAGGGACTGAATGGCCTGGTCGTGCTTCAGCGTGGCATCACGTACTGCTCCTGATGCACGTTTGACCGCTTCATCGGGCGAGGTGTCGCTACTCTGAGAGGCCCCTTGGGCCTGCTTCAACTTATCAATCTGAGCCTGCAGCGCCGAACGAAGAGCTGGATCATCCGCGACAAGAGTGGCCGCCTCGACCTTGGCCAAAGGCGTGGGCTCCGCTGCAGAACCCTTGCCTCCGACGGCCGCGGGGGCCTTGACGAGCTGATTGTCGTTCTTCAGACTCTTGTCACCCTTCTTCTTACCCAAATGCAAAGTCAGCCACGTGCCACACGCACAAGTAGAATTGCGTGCTAGAAGAATGTCGTTGTACTCACAGGTGTCACAAGACGGGCAACGTGTCCATAATCTTCGAGTGCTGCTGCCATAATTTCCTTTTCCCTTGGACTTAGCACCCTTGTGCCCTCGTCCACCCATGGCAGGATAAAGAGCCCCCTTTAGCCACCGTGCGAGCAGCACGGCGCACGGGCCCCTCAAGCACCACGAGGAGGTAGGGACTGTGGTTCGATGCGCTGTCCCCTGCAACTGCAGCTACAGGACGGAGGGGCACCTGAACCAGAATGGCTTGAGGGGAGGAGGAGGAGGAGGAGGAGGAGGAGGAGGAGGAGGAGAAGGAGAGGAGGAGGAGGAGGAGGAGGAGGAGGAGGAGGAGGAGGAGGAGGAGGAGGGAGGAGGTGGGGGCGGATGCGGAGGAGGAGGAGGAGGAGGAGGGAAGAGGAGGAGGAGGAGGAGGAGGCGGAGAAGGAGGAGTTGGGAGGACGAGGAGGAGGCGAATGAGGAGGAGGGACGTGGATAGGCGGAGGAGGGCGGAGGAGGCGGAGGAGGAGGAGGAGGAGGAGGAGGAGGGAGGAGATGAGAGAGGAGGAGGAGTGAGGCGGAGGAGGAGGAGGAGGAGCAGGAGGAGCAGGAGAGCAGGAAGAGCAGGAGGAGGAGGAGGAGGAGGAGGAGGAGGAGGCGCAGGCGGAGGCGGAGGCGCAGGCGGAGGCGGAGGAGGAGGCGCAGGCGGAGGCGGAGGCGGAGGCGGGGGCGGAGGCGGAGGCGGAGGCGGAGGCGGAGGAGGAGGAGGAGGAGGAGGAAGAGGAGGAGGAAGAGGAGGAAGAGGAGGAGGAGGGGGGGAGGAGGCGGACGAGGAGCAGGAGGGGGATGAGGAGGAAGATGAGGAGGAGGAGGAGGGGGAGGATGAGGAGGAGGAGGAGGAGGAGGCTATCTTGGACACCTCCTACCTTGACACGTCGATTAGCGAGTTGGCCGTTTTCGGTTCGCGAGAGGGCGTCGCGGCCGTCAGTTTTGCAGGTCCAGGTCCGTCGGTTTCGGATGTTTATAGGCCTCCGGAGGTTTCTTCGAAATGTCCCTCCTCGAACAGTTCTGGCTGGGGCTGATTTGTTTTGACGCATCGGGCCTGTGTTCGAAGAAGTTCTCGGGACACTTTTGGGTTCTGAGAGAATTTCGTGGTTAGCCTGTAAGGGTGCCTCGGAGGTTGATCGACCTCCTACCCTGATGCGTCGATTAGCGAATTGGCCGTTGTCGGTTCGCGAGAAGGCGCCGCGGCCGTCAGTTTTGCGGGTCCAGGTCCGTCGGTTTCGGTCCTATATGCCGTTTTCACGAAAGGGTGGTTTACGAAAGGGGGGTTTGTCCACCGCCGATTCTCTCTCTCTCTCTGTGTATCTTTCCTTCCCCTCGCGCTGGGTCCCCTCGCGCTGTCTATCTTTCCTTCCCCTCCGCGCGGGTTTCCTGGATCCGTGCTGGGCCCCCCTGGCGGCGCCTCTGGCGCCGCCCCTGGAGCGCTCGGCGCGCCAGGGAGGGGGTCTCCGGCGCAGATCCAGGAGCTCCGCGCGGAGCGCCAACAATATATGTGTGTATGCTTTTGTTGTCTTCTTCTACTCTCTCTTTCTCTCTTTCTTTCTCTCTCTGTCTCTCTCGCTCATCCCCAAATGTGTTGCTCCTCGTGCCCTGTCCGGAGTGCCGCCCCCCGCGAAGGAGTCGCATGAGCGCGGAGCGGCTCTTTCGTACCAACACGGGCTCCAAAGCCCCCAGCGTGCAGCCCACGCTCAGTGTGGCGGAAGCGGAAGACCTGTTCGACGCCCTTGCGATCCTGCAGAATGTGGGCTCCTCGGGCCCCGCCGGTGTCTTGCGGCTGGGCAAGGCCTTCGACGTCTCCGTGGACAAGTTCTTCTCGCTGGTGCGCTTCCGGCAGCTGATGGACCGGACCGCGTCGTGCCCCAACGACTTCTTCCAGCGCCTCGACCTGGACAAGAGCCAGAGTCTCTCGCTGAGCGAGATCGCGCGCTTCATCCAGAACCCGCGCAACAGCGAGGAGCGCCAGGACCCGTCCGGCACGGACGCGGGCGCTTCGGGCGCCGACCCCTCCAAGCTCGCGGAGCTCGTCTTCTCCGCGCTGGACGCCGTGGGCGGGGAAGACATTGTCCGTAATTGCCTGCGCCCTCGCGGCCGGCCCTCCTCTTGGCATCGCTCGGACGTGTGTATTTCTATCTCGGCGAGGGCCCTTGAGGAGCATCCTCGATCATTTGGCGAAAAAACCGCGCACGAACCCTAAAAAGACACAGGGAATGGACGTCCGAGCGATGGCCAGTCCCGGGCGGGGCGGCCCCGCGGATATGCGGGGCGGCCCTGCTCGCGGGCCTCGTGCGGCGCTCGTCCACTGAAATAGTAAAAAAATAGTTCAAAAACAGTTTGGGGACTATTTCTTGAGTATTGTTTGACCTTGTTCGAGTATTTTTGGTGTATTTACCTAACATCGAAGACTGGTAGGTTTCTAGTAGTGTCAAAAGAGAGCAGCACATTACTCCACAGGGGGGTCTGGGCAGCCGTTGGGGACGAGTTGGGGTTTGCCGGCGGGGATCGTTTTTCGCATACAGTCACACACTTCGTGCTCTTCGATTTCCCAGAACTCCATTCCCGGGCCACATTCTGAATGCCCGGAGCCAACTGTAGGCCACTTCGTGCTCTTCGACTTCCCAGAACTCCATTCCCGGGCCACATTTTGGATGCCCGGAGCCAACTGTAGGCCACTTCGTGCTCTTCGAGTTCCCAGAACTCCATTCCCGGGCCACATTTTGGATGCCCGGAGCCAACTGTAGGCCACTTCGTGCTCTTCGAGTTCCCAGAACTCCATTCCCGGGCCACATTTTGAATGCCCCGAGCCAACTGTAGGCCACTTCGTGCTCTTCGAGTTCCCAGAACTCCATTCCTGGGCATGATTTTGAATGCCCGGAGCCAACTGTAGGCCACTTCGTGTTCTTCGAGTTCCCAGAACTCCATTCCTGGGCCACATTTTGAATGCTGAGGCAGGCTGATGCTGCAGGCTGAGGCTGAGGCAGGCTGAGGCTGAGGCCGAGGCTGAAGGCAGACTGAGGCTGAGGCTGAAGCAGGCTGAGGCTGAGGCTGAGGCTGAGGCAGGCTGAGGCTGAGGCTGAGGCAGGCTGATGCTGAGGCAGGCTGAGGCTGAGGCTGAGGCTGAGGCAGGATGAGGCTGAGGCGGATGCTGAGGCTGAGGCTGAGGCAGAGGCTGAGGCTGAGGCTGAGGCTGAAGCTGAGGCTGAGGCTGAGGCTGAGGCTGAGGCTGAGGCTGAGGCTGAGGCTGAGGCTGAGGCAGCAGCTGGCTGAGGCAGGCTGACGCTGAGGCTGAGGCTGAGGCAGGCTGAGGCTGAGGTGGGGGGGGGGGGGACGAGGCTGATGGCAGGCTGAGATGAGGCAGGTGAGGCGGAGGCGAGGCTGAAGGCAGGCTTTAGGCTGAGGCTGAAGCAGGCTGAGGGCTGAGGCTAAGGCAGACTGAGCTGAGGCTGAGGCAGCTGATGTGATGCAGGCTGACGGCTGAGGAGTGAGGCAGAGAGCTGAGGCTGAGGCAGGCTGAGGCTGAGGCCGAGGCTGAAGGCAGATTGAGGCTGAGGCTGAAGCAGGCTGAGGCTGAGGCAGAGGCAGGTTGAGGCTGAGGCTGAGGCAGGCTGATGCTGAGGCTGGCTGATGCTGAGGCTGGCTGATGCTGAGGCAGGCTGAGGCTGAGGCTGAGGCTGATGCAGGCTGAGGCTGAGGCAGGCTGAGGCGGAGGCCGAGGCTGAAGGCAGACTGAGGCTGAGGCTGAAGCAGGCTGAGGCTGAGGCGGAGGCAGGCTGAGGCTGAGGCTGAGGCAGGCTGATGCTGAGGCAGGCTGAGGCTGAGGCTGAGGCTGATGCAGGCTGAGGCTGAGGCAGGCTGAGGCTGAGGCCGAGGCTGAAGGCAGACTGATGCTGAGGCTGAAGCAGGCTGAGGCTGAGGCTGAGACAGGCTGAGGCTGAGGCAGGCTGAGGACTAAGGTGGGCGTGCTGGGTGATGCAGGGATTGAGGCGAGGCTGCGGCAGGTGAGGCTGAGGCGAGCGAAGCAGATGAGCTGAGGCTGAAGCAGGCTGAGGATGAGGCTGAGGCAGGCTGATGCTGCGGCCGAGGCAGGCTGAGGCTGAGGCAGGCTGAGGCTGAGGCCGAGGCTGAAGGCAGACTGAGGCTGAGGCTGAAGCAGACTGAGCTGAGGCTGAGGCAGGCTGAGGCTGAGGCTGAGGCAGGCTGGCTGCAGGCTGAGGCTGAGGCAGGCTGAGGCTGAGGCTGAGGCTGATGCAGGCTGAGGCTGAGGCAGGCTGAGGCTGAGGCCGAGGCTGAAGGCAGACTGAGGCTGAGGCTGAAAGGCTGAGGCTGAGGCTGAGGCTGAGGCTGAGGCTGAGGCTGAGGCTGAGGCTGGCAGGCTGATGCTGAGGCAGGCTGAGGCTGAGGCTGAGGCTGATGCAGGCTGAGGCTGAGGCAGGCTGAGGCTGAGGCCTGAGGCTGAAGGCAGCAGGCTGAGGCTGAGGCTGAGGCAGGCTGAGGCTGAGGAGGCTGAGGCTGAGGCTGAGGCAGGCTGAGGCTGAGGCTGTGACTGCGACTGCCGTTGCCACTGCGACTGTCATCGCGAATGCGACTACGACTGCGAGAACAGCAGAATTCTACAACTGGATTCTCATCCGAATCTTAAGGGGAATGTTTCCAGATATGCTCCTACACATCGATGTTAGGTTGCTTTGCCGGGATAATTTTGTATATTTGTCGTCGAAAATCCCTCTGTAAGGGGACACGCCCGACATAAGGCTAGGACGAGGATGAAGATCCGCTCCGGAGCGTTCCAGAAAAAGCTCTCGGAGCGCTCCGGAGCCCGCTGCATCCTCCAGAGCCGTCGGCTCTCAGAGCTTCTCGAGTCAGGTCCCCCCCCGAACCTGTCCGCGCCCCGGCTTCGTCTCTCGTGCCCGTCGCCCGCGAGGACGCGAACAGGGACGGCAAGATCGAGTCCTGGGAGTTCCAGCAGCAGCTGGCGCTCGCCGCGCCCCCGCGCCTCTCGCTGGTGGCCCTGACGGCGCACCTGGAGATGAAGCACGGCTTCGGGCAGTCGGGGCTCCACGGGCCGGTGGTCGGCCTTTGCGCAGGGGGGGGGAGGTTTTCTTGGGGTCGAGTCGGGCCTGTCCCCCTACAGGGGGATTTCCGACGAAACATTAAAAATACCACGAAAATAGTCCAAACATGGTCCACAAATAGTATAGGGACTAATTTTTGAGTATGTTTTGACCTTTTGGTGGTATTTTTGGTGTATTTTTCATTTTTTGGCGAACATCCCCTAGTAGGGGGACACGCCCGACTTAATCTTAGGATCCAGTCGGACATGTTCCTCTACTGTCAGGCGATGGCAAACATAGATTAATGGGCGTGGCTTAGCGACGTGTCCCGTTTCCATAAGAAACCGCGGATTTCCGCCGCCACGCGAGGCGGCTCTGGCCGCATTTTGGGGGGGGGCGCCTCCCCTAACGCATGGATTTGGCGACCGCGCGCCAAATCCATGGATCGCTGATCCATGTTTGCGCGCCCCCGATACTGGAGGACTATTCAAAAATAGTCAGACAATGATCTGATGACGATGTGATGAACAAAATGCGCCTGTAGGAGGACAGGCCCGACCTAATCTTAGGAGCACCCTGCTTCTTTGCAGGCGCGGGCCCTCTCTAGATAATTAAGACTGGCGCCTTTTCAGAGGCGGACTCCCTCTGAGAAGCCATGCCCCTTCCCCTACCCCCTTGTGCGCGCCGCCAAGGTGGACAGGGCGTTGCTGTTCGAGTACCTGTGCAATAGGCAATCTTTGTTTCGATCCGATCGAGCCGACTCCGTTCCCATATTCGGGCGAGCCGATGAGGCCCGGAGCTTTGGTGACGTTGTCGTGCATCTTGGCGCGGCTGATTCGATTCCGTGCCTATGCACAGCCCGATCCGATGCACGCCCCCGAACCGATCGGATTTCCCGATGGGGTGCTATCTGACCCTGGCAGGGAAGCGCTGGACCTGGCCCCCGAGGACGTCGCGCGCTGCCTCCGCGTCGCCCGGAGCTCGAGCGCCGCAGGCAAGAGGGGTCCGCCAGCACAGGACGCCGACCTCGAGGGCACCGACGTGGACGCCTTCCTGAGGTCAGCGGGCGAAGAACGGTGTCACAAAAACTGTTTCGCCGTCGGGGGTGCTTGCCTGGGCAGCTGGAAAGTTTGTACCCCTACGGTGCCACCGTAGGGGTACAAACTTTCTAGCCGCCCTGGGATAGGTGCCCCCGATTGATGGGACTGTTTTCCACCACCACCATACGTTGGAGGTGCAGGGGCTCCTCCTCCTCCTCCTTCTCCTCCTCCTCCTCCTCTTCGTCCTCCTCCTCATCGTCCTCCTCCTTCCCCTCTCCAGCTTATAGTGGTGGTGGTGGAAAACAGGCCCATCACCGATAGCGAAAACGTTTTTGTTGCACCGTCTTTGCCCGTGAGTGAGGATCCTGCCCGTCGACGCGGTCTGGGGCCTGGACCCCTACATAGACCAGTATTATGCCGCCTTGGGCACCCGGGTGCTGATGCTGGAGAGACCCCGGCGGGGAGACGCGTGCGTGCCGCGGGAGGCCCTGCTGGAGCACCGCGAGAAGGCGCCCGACGAGGCCGAGCTGCGCGCGCGGTTCGGCCAGCTGTGGGACGCCGCCGCGCTGATGGGGAGCGCCAAGGATACCCGTCGGTCGTTGGAAGCAGGTAATTCTGGATGCCCTGAACCCAATCTACTTCAAGCGCCTTCCTACTTCAAGAATCGATATGGTTTGGCTGTTGTTTGCTATGACTTGGGCGGGCCCGAACCCAGTCTACTTCTATCCGCCTTCCTACTTCATGTTTCGATCTACTTCTTCCGACCGGCGTGCAGGGGAACGAATCATTACATACAGTAGAGTTTCATTCGCAGGCCGACCCTTGTGTCATGTGTTTCGCAGTCCATGCCCTCCACGTTCCACTGGCACTGTGGCCATCGGAAGGGTCTCGTGTCCTCTCGCTAGGGTGCCACACGCGAACCCTACCCCTACCCCCCACGATTTCTGATGAGGGGGAGGGTGGGGTTCACTTCGCTCGGGAGCTCCCAGACGAAGTGAACCCCACCCTCCCCCTCATTATTTGTGGGAGGCAGGGGTAGGGTTCGCGTGTGGCCCCCTACTCGCGTGTCCTCTCCAATCCACCCCGACTGTAAACATAAAAACTCGGAGGCCCGCGCGGATATTTCTCGGCTCCGCGCTGGGCCCCCCCCCCGGCGGCGCCTCCGGAGCGCGCCCCTGGCGCGCTCTCCGCGCGCCAGGGAGGGGGGGGGTCCAGCGCGGAGCCGCGAAATCCGCGCGGACCTCCGAGTTTGTATGTTTTTATGTCGTCTGTCGTTCCCCCGAAAGGAAATCAAGGACGCGGGCATCGGGAGAGTGCACGAGGAGATTCGCGAGGGCTGCTTCAAGAGGTATGCGGCCGCTGCCGCCGCCGTCATGGAGTGGCGCGCGGCGCGGATGCAGGAGGCGGGCGGCCGCTTCCTCGCCAGGCACTCGAGGGCAAAAGCGGTGCCCATGCCACGCCCGTCTGCAAGCTGGCGCGCGCGCCGCTGTGGCATTCCTGATCCTCCCGGCAGGCACTTCGCCGGACCCCGCTCGCTCTTCTTCAACATCGGGGACGTGCTGGCCACGCCGTCGCACCGCCTCTACGCCGGCCAGGCGTGCGTGGTGCGGTTCCGCCTGCACGGCGGCGCCAGCTTCTGGCACCCGCAGCACCAGGTCCGAGGCAGCGATCGGGGTTGGATACCTCGGGGGCGGGCAGTACACGTATTCGTCTGGGAGCCTCGCCGAAGACATGGACCACGAGCGCCCCGGAATACCGTCAACCATGATCGTAAGAATGGGGCAACTTTCCAAGGCTACCCTTGCAGCCTTGCCCCTTCGGTGTTCGGCATCCTTCGGTATTCTGCTGCGCTCCGCACGGAGAACGTCAACAGGGCGTTCCAAGGCCCTTGCATCCTTACCGCGCATCCTTACAATCGTGGTCGAGTGTACGGTAGATTCGCGTCGTGTCGACCAGCGGCGACTCCGCCGCCGGCGTTCAACGCTGAACGCCGGTTGCAACCCAGAATTGGTCGATGTGGAACGATCTTACGTTTCGGAAGCGGCCGATGGTTCACGGTGGAACGAGCCGTGCGGTGTCAGACCCAAAGCCGCGGTCGACGCGACACGAACCTGCAGTGCGTGTATTGCTTCCCCTGGGCTATTCGCCCCCGTCGTTCCCTCTTCTGGACGCCCGAAATGGGTACGGAAAGAATGGGTACAATGCCCAACAGCAAATGTTGTCCCAAGCCAACACGACCGCTGTTGGGCAAGCGGCCTTCTGTCTCGAATGGACACAGGCCGCGGCGGCGCGGACAGCGAGTCCTGTTCAAAGTGGACAGGAATTGCTGTTGGGCATTGTACCCATTCTTTCCGTGCCCATCCCGGGCGTCCAGACTTCTGGTCAGGTGCTCAAGAACGAGCGGGAGCCGACCGCCTGGCCTCTGCAGCAGCAGGCGCTCGCCGTCGGCTCTCGTCACCGAGCGTGTTTCAGGAGGAAAAGAAACACACAGACACAATTAATCCTCGATTCCCCAGAAAATATGCGAAAATATGGGAAGTGGGGGGGAAGACAGAAACCCAGAAGATGTGGGAAAACATGGGGAATAGTTTTATTTGTGTGTATTTTTTTGTGTGTCCCAGGGCCCCTTCAGTGTTCCACGACTCGCCAAGAGTGCATCCTCGCAGGCGTGGCACATCCAGGCCATTTGCGCGAGTAGCTACTCTGCGAGTCGTGGAACGCGCTCGCCCGTTTCGCAAGGGCTCGGCATCGCTCGGACGTGTGCATTTGTTCTTCGGCGAGGACCATCGAGGAGCATCCTTGATCCTTTGGCGAAAAAGCCACGCACGAAACCGAAAAATGCACAGGGAATTGACGTCCAGGCGATGGCCAGGGGGCGGATCCCTCGGGTGGGAGCGTTCCTCGCGTGCATCCGGGGCTCCGGGCGCCCATGCCTTCGACCTGGCTCCCGGGCGGATGCGCGCCATGCCCGCCCCAATGGGGTTCTGTCCGCCCCGGTGTGCCTCCATCCGCCCTTTGTCAGGGCT